TGAGGCTTTACTGGCTGATGTGGAGAAAATGTTGCCGTGTTTCTCTTCAAAAAACCTGAGGAGACTATCAGCACAATCAGGGATTTTGTATGGAAGTGATCAGAATGTGATGAAGTTACACCTTCGTGCATATTGTGTTTGTTGTGTGCAGGAACTGAAGGACCTGGATAAAGAAAAATGCTTAGTGTACTGTAGATGGTTTTGGACATTTGTTGTCAACCATGGAATTGAAGAGTTCGATCGGTTTTCTTCACTGACGAAGCATGGTTTCACCTTAGTAGCTACGTGAACAATCAAAACAATAGGATTTGGTCATCTGAAAATCCACATGTGTTACATGAAAAGCCCTTTCACTGTCAGAAAATTGGAGTGTGGTATACTGTAACACACATCATCAAATAGTGAGCCCAATTTTCTTTGAAACAACAGTGAAAAGTCCAGTGTACCAAGACGTCATTACACAGTTTACTGCGCTTCTTGAAGTTGATGAATGTGAGTGTTGGTTGCAGCAAGACAGTGTCACATGTCACACATCTAATGAAACTATGCAGTTCTTGTGCAAGTTTTTCGGTGACCACCTCATTTTGAAAGGATTGTGGCCCCCGCATTCACTCGATTTGTCACCCGCAGATTTTTTCCTTTAGGGGTACCTCAAAGGAATTGTCTATAAAAACAATCCACGTACACTGGATGACCACAAGAGGAACATTATGACGGCAATTAACAGCATCAGTTTACATGTGCTCCACAAAGTGGCCTCAAACATGGTAAAAAGAGCTCACACATGCGTTGCTGAACAGGTAAGCCATTTCGAGTAGATGTTGTAAAGACATGATTTGATTTTGCATTTTTAAGATGTAAGGTTGGCCGCGCCATAGCTCAAGCGGTTAGTTGCTGGCTTCCCACCGCAGGGGCCCGGGTTTGATCCTGGGGTCTGGTCAAGTGGGATTTGTGGTGGACAAAGTGGCACTGGAGCAGATTTTCTCCAAGTACTTTGGTTTCCCCTGCCAATCTTAATTCCACCAAATTCTCCATCATCATAATCACCCAGCTGGACTCCACCCCCCACTAAGTGAATTAAAAAAAAGATGTAAGGTTATAGACATTAATAGTAAGTGCTGTATGTCTTGTAGTTTGTGCATTAAACCAGCAAAATATAATTGCTTAGTGTGATTTGCGCGACTTCTCGATCCCCATGTAGCATAAAAACTGACATAATTGTAAAATAACTCCCAAAAACTGATCGCCCAGAAGACTGAAATTTTGACTACAATCCTTTTTGCTGAAGACAACTCTCAGTACCTCGGATCACACTGTTTCAGGGTGCAGTAATCTCCAGACCATCCAGAATTGCACATACATGAGTCACCAACACAGTGACCATGTGGTCCACAGTCCAGGTCACAGAGCTCTGAAATTAAAATATTAATATCTGTAGCATTACATTTGTATGTGTGTGATACTTGGTCTTTCCCCCTGAGGTGTTTTAGAACATGAGCAAGGAAGAGAATGTTTAGATCTAAGAGATAAGTGACAGAAGGAAGGAAAAAATCAACAGCTACATAATTTGTACTCTTCCTCAAATATTATCAGGTGCACCAAAATGAATATGAGATGGACAGGACATGCAGCATGAATAAGAGAGATGAG